AAAGCATGACTCTGTCTCAAAAAAAAAAATAATATTATATATATATATTACTATATATATATCTATACTATACTTTTAGTTGGCCAATTAATTTCTTTCTATTTATAGTAGAGACAGGGTCTCGCTCTTGCTCAGGCTGGTTCGAACTCCTGACCTCAAGCGATTCACCCGCCTCGGCCTCCCAGAGTGCTAGGATTACAGGCGTGAGCCACCGCTCCCGGCCTCAAAGTGATTCTTAAAGTAAATACTTCTATTTCTAGCACTGGAAGTATGATGTTCAGGTTTTTTGTTGTTGTTTGTTTTTTTGTAACAGCATGACCACTGTTATATGTCTGTGATGTTAAGGTTTATTTGCCTTATTTTGTACTGTCATTTGAAAATTGTTTAAAAACATGCACATGCCTCATGCATTACTCTGCCCTTCTTGACTATATCATGTGACTGTCATCATCATCACAGAAGAATAATACATATTTTTCTGGTATGTGAGTGTTCTATATGTTCTGGTATGTGGGTGTTCACTATGTTCCTAGTGAAAGTGCTAGCAAAGAGAGGGAGACAGGGACAGGAAATATACAGGGTGTAACAAGAGCTATAGCCAGACATGGTGACATGCACCTGTAGTCCCAGGTACTCAGGAAGCTGAAGTGAGAGGAGGATAACTTGAGCCCAGGAGTTTGAGACCAGCCTGGGCAATATAGCAAGACCCTATCTCTGAAAAATAAAGGCCAGGCATGATGGCTCACACCCGTAATCCTAGTACTCTGGGAGGCTGAGGCGGGAGGATTGCTCAAGGTCAGGAGTTTGAAACCAGGCTAATCAAGAGTGTGACCCTGTCTCTATTAAAAATAGAAAGAAATTAATTGGCCAACTAAAAGTATAGAAAAAAATTATACTTGTGCCAGGCGTGGTGGCACATGCCTGTAATCCCAGCTACTTGGGAGGCTGAGGCAGAAGGATCACTTGAGCCCAGGAGTTTGAGGTTGCTGTGAGCTAGGCTGACGCCACAGCACTGTAGCCTGGTAACAGAGTGAGACTCTGTCTCAAAAAAAGAAAGGAAAGAAAGAAAGAAAGAAAGAAAGAGAGAGAGAGAGAAACAGAGCTACAAAAGGATCATGAGTTTTTAGGTATCTCAAGAATGTGGTATTAAATTTCTTTTCTTCTCTGCTAAAATATAGAGCTAAGGAGCAAACTGTGTGTATATAAGTGGGTGGGTGCACATTTGTGATTATATATAGTGACGAAGATAGAGGACTACCTGCTTTTACATATTTTAGTCTAACCAAAGATTTTTATTTTAAAGTTTGCTAAGGGTCAGAGGTATGAAATACAAGAAGCACATTTCACATTAAGATTCTTTGGGGGAGGCTGGGTGTGGTGGCTCAACCCTGTGATCCTAGTACTCTGGGAGGCTGAAATGGGCAGATCACTTGAGGTCAGGAGTTCGAAACCAGCCTGAGTGAGACCCCGTCACTACCAAAAATAGGAAGAAATTAATCGACCAACTAAAAATATATATACAAAGAGTTAGGAGCCGGGCGTGGTGGCTCACACCTGTAATCCTAGCACTCTGGGAGGCTGAGGCGGGTGGATTGCTCGAGGTCAGGAGTTCGAAACCAGCCTGAGCAAGAGCGAGACCCCGTCTCTATTATAAATAGAAAGAAATTAATTGGCCAAAAAAAAAAAAAAGAAAGGAAAGAAAGGAAGAAAGAAGGAAAATGTGCCAGGGACAGTGGTGCTCACCTATAGCACCAGATACTCAGGAGGCTGAGGTGGAAGGATCACTTGAGACAATAACAGAAGAAGAAAGAAAAAGGGAAATATGAATATCAAAGAGGGGAATACTTTCCCCCAAAGAATCTTTTTTTTTAATTAATTATTTTTTGAAACGAAGTCTCACTTTGTGCCCAGGCTAGAGTGGATGCCGTGGTCAGCCTAGCTCACAGCAACCTAATCTCCTGGCCTCAGCATCCTGCCTGCCTCAGCCTCCGAGTAGCTGGACTACAGCAATCACAGAGTCGCCCGCTGATTTTTTTCTAATATA